ACTACTAACAATTTGAATACTCTAGCCAAGTATTGTAAAAGATGCAATTAACAGCCTCTGAAGAAGCAATCTGAAAAACTCCTGGTGGTTAAAAAAAAAAGTCAACCAACCCCTCCTGTCCAAATAAAAGAAAGCCACAAAACACCAAGAAGTTCTGCTCTGAAACACTTTCACTTATCTTCCCTAAAAAAAAAAACAAACAACAAAACAATAAACAGTCAATTCTAATTCAGCTTAAGTACATTTTGCTGTCAGCTTTACTTCCAAAATTTAGAAGCCACTTTATAAGCAAAGCACCACTAAAACTTATTAAACTACAAACAGCATCTGATTGATACAGGGCAACAGAATGTCTTTATACAAGTCACATGTTGTGCTACCATAAACCAAGTGCACCACTAAGCAAATACCATCAGATCAAAACCAAACCTACCATCCACGTTGGCACTTCATAGTCGCTCGTCCTACTTTTTTACTGAAAGAAAAAAAAAAAAACAGAAAAAGAACCCCAACCCACAGCAAACCACTCCCTTACCTTAAACTGCACTTGGGGCTCTCCTTGGGCGGCCATGCTGGGTCTGCAGGGGAAATGGCAGCATGTGAGCTCACAACGGGCGAGCCGATCTCAGGCCCCGCCGGAAGGGGACGGGCGCCGTTTTCCGTTCCCAGCTCGCCCGGAAAGGCGCGTGCTCCGCGCGCCAGGCGGCTCGGCCGGGCCCACGCCGCCCCCCACACCCGACCACACGAGGCGCCCGTGGGGCCGGGGCCATTCATGGGGCAGGAAGCGGGGCCGCGTCTCCCCACATGTGGCGGGAACGCGCGATAATGGCGGCGGCACCTCCCCGCCCACTCCGGCGCCTCGTAACGGTAGGCGGCTGCCGCACCGCTTCGGTGTCGGGCTCGAGAAAGGAGACACCGATCCGCGGCCTCCGAAGGACACCTCCGCGAGAGCCAAGCCCAGCCTCGCTCTGTAGAAAGTCCTCCCCAGCCCGCCCAGAATCCCTATCCCAGCCAGCAGGAGAATCTATTCAATGACCGGGAGAACCCAGAGCGAGTACTCGGGGAGGTCCAGAGAGAAGCGTTCCTCTGGCCAGGCCCCAGCCCCGCCAACGGGCCTAAACGCTCTCTCCCTCCCCGCCATGAGCCACCATGACTGAGCAGCGCGCGCCTCCTCCCCTCCCCCCGCAGGTTCGGGTCGCTGGAGGCCCCGCTCTGTTCCTCCTCTCCAATCTCGACAGCCCTTTTTCCCAGGACTAAGAAGAGCACCGCTCCTACCCTTCCACCTCTCCGTTTCCAAGGGCTGAGAGGAGAAAAGCCGCCACAACAGTCAGCTACCACAGCTGCAGCGGTCACTCAGGCCCACCTCACTACAACCCAACCCATGTAATACTGCTCCTGGCGGTAACTAACGGTGACCGCCATTACCATCATTCAGGGTTTTTAAAACGGCCACACCCGCTCCCAAAAGGATGAGGGGGACGCCCCGACCCCGTTACCTTTCCCGAGGCGTCTCTCCACGCCGCTCCGCTCGGTACCGAGGCGCTAGGAAGATGGCGGAAGCGAGGTTCAAATACCCAGACAGCGACGCCGCGCGGCCAGAGAAGAGGAGGAGCCGGCGTCACGTGGTAAGAGGCGGGCGGGAGGAGGCTGGTAGTCCACTGCAGCCCTGAGAGAGGGTTCTGGCGGCCGTGGGGCCAGGCCCAGTGTTTCGCTGAAGCGGCGGATCGGCCCGACGAGGGGGGTCAGTGGCCCGGCGAGACTCGGCCTGTTCGACAGCGGGGAGCAGCTCCTCTGTGGTACGGCAGGAAGAACGCGCGCGCACAGCTACCCACCTGAGGGGCTTCCCGCCCCGACCAGCGCCTTCCGCTGTAGTGGCCGAGCTTCGCTGGTGAGGGGTGAGGCAGTCTCGGAACCGAGCTGAGCTCAAGAAACCCGGCAGCCTCCCTGCGCCGGCATTAAAATCGCATCAAGAAGCGTTTCAGTCACTTGATGGCACTCATTCTGCAGACAAAGTTTGAAAATTGCATGGAGTTACTTAGAAAAACTACCACACCGCCTCAGGTGTGGCTTAATAAAGCCTTTAAAAGCCGCAGGTGAATTTAATTGAAGAGCCTTCAGGTGGAAACAGCTGTGTTCAAAACGGCTTCTCTCAAATGTGCCTCATGACCATGATTGTCAGCACTTCACGCAAACCCAGCTGCACCCACTGGAGAGTGCATTGATGAAAATAAAAGTTATTTTGTAATCCCTAGATTTAGAGTAATTCTCTAAGGTCTCAAACCCAAACTTCAGTGGAATCAAGTTGCTCAAAAACTGACTTTCAAAGACCACAGGTGTTTTACATTGGCTGCAAGTACGAGGTTCATGGGTACACACTGACTTTTAAGGTTTTGGGGTTTATTTTTTAATTTTTAGTCCAGTATACTTAAACCAACTTTTATGCAGTTTGCATAATGTTTGTTGTGCACCTCATAATCTAGAATAAATAAGCGATAAGATATATACATATATTGAACTAACAATATTTCATGGCACATTATATATGCAAACAAATTCCTTCTTGCTTACTTTCTACAGGCATAGATGCAACGTGTATAGAAAGCTTCACAAGAGTGGCTGTACTGTGCTGTAATTTTTGTTTATTTGATAGTGCAATGCCAATCCAAACGTTGCATAAGATTTTGTTTGTTAGAAGAATCACTGGCTTGTTGGATTTGCCTTCCCTTTTTTTGGATGAGTTGGGTCTGTGGGCTCTTCAGCATTTTTGCTGATCGCCTCTAGGTGTCAGGAAGGGTATTTTTCAGAACGCACAACTCCAGTTTTCCTCAGCACAGTGCTATCTTTATAAAATCCTCATGAATTCCACCTCTCTTCTTCATAAATAGGCACATTTTTTATAAATAGGAGCCCATAAACCCACATTAGCTGAGTTTGGCAGTTGTTAATATACACAATTCCAGGAGACAAAAAAAAACAAAACAAAATCAATGTTTAACTGTGTGTAGAATACTCGCTGTACTTAAGAAACATCTCAATATCGTTCAAATGTATTAGTAAACTACTTTTTTTTTTCTCTGCAAATGAAATGGTTATAATATCTAACACTTTACTTTGAAATAACTAAAATAGGTTTCTAATTTTAAAGGCCCCTAACATAGCATTTGAGCTCCTGGCAAATATTTATTTTGTTGTTATCGGTGGAATCCAGTTTTTATCATGTTTCATCATCATCTATATGTAAGTGTTCTGTTCAGAGGATGCGAAAAGCATCGGCTCCAGATAACCCCATTCAGCAAAGGCAACAAAACGCTTCCAGGCACTCATCAGCAGTGTAAGATTACTATCTAAAGGATTAGAGTCACTAAGGTATCACTAGGTAATCAGCATAAGAATTACTTTTAAAAGATCTTTTACATTTCCTGTATCTTGACTCGGTCAACTGTGAACAAACTTAGGAACTCACCAGATAAATGCACAAGGTAAAAGGCAGCCCCTACTATGTGTCTGAAGACACAAATGAGGAATGGTACAAAATACAGCACTGGAGATAAATGGGATCACACAGCTAAACAGCATATGTGACTAGAACTGCTATCAGTAGGAAGTAAACCATTTTGTAAACTGTAAACGAAGGCAATGATATATGCAGGCAAGCAATGAGAAGAAAACATAATTGTACTTCCCAGTTACAGCAGCGATGCGGAAATATCTCTGGAATATGAGCTGAGGCAGGAACAGAGATCTGCATGCTGGTGTTCAAGACGACACAGGAAATGACACTGAAAGGTTTGAAGAGGAAATTAGTCACTCTCAGCACAGATTAGTAAAACGGACCATACAGTAGTAAAATTCAATTAAGTATTTGAAAGACAAACTTTATTCATTTTTTCACCACGTAAAACATTTCAGACTAAGTTTTGCTAAGAGCCTACGCTGTCAGAAGATAAGCATATACTAGGTCAATGATGAAGGGCAGATGTAGACCTTAATTGTTTCGGAAAACAAAACTTCAGCCATTTACTATAGTTAAACTGGTTTACATTGCTAATTCAGGATCTTTAAATTCCTGATCCAGAATAAGCTTCTTTAACTACACAAGGAAAATTATGCATAGATTTTGCTCAGCATCCAAAAGTAAGCTTTAGCATTTACAGTTGCTGAACATGTAGTCTAGAAGATAAAGTCTGCACATATAGAACTGAGACACTAAAAGAGGCAATTGGCTGTATTCTGAAATAGTACTTTTTAGATAGCACCTGAGAACACAATACCGCTGAGGATTTTCTGCCTTCCACAGTAGGTGCATGCTGTATTTCCTAGAAGCTCCCAGACTTTGAACACATACCTGGTTTTGTACAGATTTGGGCAAAGTTGGGCAAAGTTTTGGTGTTTTACTAGAGCCCTAAATATCACCACAAGGAAATGTGTCAGCATGTTTTAATTGAAGAATTAAAGTCAGCAGGTTATCTTCTGCTCTGTGGAATGGAAGCATGCAGCCTTGTTTTCATTTCCAGTCATTGTATTTATCACTCCTAGCTGTTCTGTGGGTGAACAGCAGGCCGCAGGCTATAACTTCATATTCTTAGATGGAAAGGGGTGCCTGTGGTGAACAGAAGCATCAGCAAAGGGAGGATGCAGCCTGTGTGCTTTTCACACTAAACATAAATTACACCCAGCCCGATTGCAGCCGACCCACATCATGGGCCAGAGAAGAGCTAAATAAAACTAAACTCCAAAATGACATCACAACTCTTTACAACTCGTCCTCTCATGACGCCCCAGACCAGCCGCCATTCCCCTACTCCCTCACAGCTCCCGCCGCTACATCGGGGCAGCCGCCAGTTACCTCAGGCAGCGCCCGCGCCCAAGCCACCGGCTCTCTGACGTCAGTAGCGTGAGGCGGGCTCCCGAGGGGACAGTTGCCACCCCCGCCCGCCCCTTTCCCCGCATGCGCGGCCTGTGGTTGCGGCGGCGTGGGGCGGGGCTGGGGGCGTGGCCGCTGCGCAGCGCGCCGCGGAAGGAGGGTGGGGCGGTAACGCAGCCCGGCCCGTCAGCAGCGGCCGGCCCCGAGACCGAGAGAGGGGAGGTGGCCCCGGGGCAGCGGGCCGGGCGCGGGCGGCCCTCGGCGGGGAGCAGTAGCAGGAGGAGGACGGTACCGCGGGGAGCCGCTGAGCTGCTGCGGGGATGAAGGACCGGCTGGCTGACCTGGCAGACGCGAGGGTTCGGCTTAGGGGCAGCGGGGCGCCCTCCGGGGACAGGGCGGCGGCGGGTGGGAGGGCACAAAGCGGCGGAGCGCGGGGGAGTTGGGGCCGCTATCGCGGCTGAGGTAACGGACATCGGCGGGAAGGCCGGTGTTCCACGACGGGATCCGCGCAGTCAGCGCCGCGGCCCTGGGGCGAGGAGGCGGCCGCACCGCCCTTCCCCGCTCCCTTCTCAGGCAGGGGCGGATTCCCCCGGGAGCCGGGGAGGGTCTGGGGGCCTGGCAGTAAGAGGTCAGGCTTCTCCGGTTTATTAGAACACCTTCCCCCGCTGCCTCCTGACCTGTAGCGCGTCCAAGCCGTTACAGTTCTGAATGGCAGATGCACCGGGTAATAGCGTTGTTTTCGAGCTGCCCGCGGTGTCGTGGGGTAGATTTATCCGCTTGGAAACGGTTTAACCGGTAACGCGTCCATAAAGCTATCCGCAGATTTTATTTCCTGCGTGTTTACAAAATGGTAGCTGGCTATGTTTATACACTCTTTTTCTTTCCCTTATTTGTGCTTTGAAAACGGTATCCTAAAAAAGAAGGGAGAGTTGGAGGGAGGTACCGTCCTGTCAACAGCAGGATATGGCTTGGGTAAAGTAAAAGGATATTTGGTTTGTTTTGGTTTTTCTTCCTGGAAAGAAATGGAAGTGGAGATCACCGAGAACTTCTGTGATAGTTCTGGGATTCCACATATATGTGGAAGTTGGCCTGTGTCGACATGCAGGCATGTTTAGCGCTCGTTCATCTTAAAATTAAGTTCATATCTTCTGGATCACAAAATACATTTTGGAAGCTCTGTTTCTAAGAGATGGAATTATCAGTGTCTTCATCTTCCTTCCTAAAAGGATGAATTGGCATCTGAAAAGATTTTGCCTTATCAGATTACAGTATCTTTTATCAGGAAAGATGTTTTGGAGGCATGCCAAAGAATTGTGTAATTTGTTTCAGATTTAATTCTTCCCTTTTCCTATTTCTAAACACGTCCAGGTTGTAGGAATACGTGCCAAATGTTGGTGATGGTGCCTGCTTCCTGGAAAGAGGAAGCAGCAAGCAGTGATCTGAATTGAATTTTTCATGTATAGCCTTAAACAAGTAGACCTCATTCTGACTGAGGGGAAGCAGCAGTGGTCTGTTGAATGGGTTTTATTAATGTAAAAACAAAAACCCGCACACAAAAAAAAAGGAACAACAGAAAATAAACCCTAACACCTCATTTTAGATATTGTTAACAGTTTTTAAAGCAACTATGAATAGAGGCTTTTAAGCCAGATTTAGTATGTGATATCTGAAAATGTGGTACTGCAGCAAGCTGCTTCAACTGGAACGTCACTGCAGGAAGCTGCTGCTTATAAGTGTTCAGTATTGCTGCCTGTAGAATTAACAAATAGCTTAGAGACTTAAAAGTTTTCTTCTAACTGGAAGAAAATATTTAAACATCAACTGAAGTTACTGAAGATCCAGTCTAAATTTTATCATGCCAAAGTGTGCAGTTGACATGAAGTTTTGAAATGTTGCATCCCTGAGGGAGGTGCCTTTTGTAAAACTTGGTTTCCTCAGGGAACTCGTGGAAGTAGCAACTTCCACCTTTCATCTATATGAGAAATAATGAGATCATGGTTTTGTGATGTTCCTTCAGTAGCATAAGCGCTTTGAGCTGTGATCCTTGACCACACTTAGATAAGATTGCTTTGAAAAGGAATAAATAAACTGAGTGAGGAACTAATGTATTAACATTTATTTGCCTATTTTCTAAACTGTTTCAGTTTGATTAGTGTAGTTTCATTGTATTTTATTTGGTTGAATCATTAAGTAGAGCATATAAGTCATGTTTTTTGAACAGGCCTGGGCCTGCAAGGTCTTCAGGAATAGCTGTGCCTTCCCTCTTTTCCTTTAATATAAGAATTTCATAGTGTTTTACTTTGGTTGGATCTTACCAAAATAAGTTCCATCCACCCTATTTCCCCCAAAGACCCTTTGAGGTACAGAAGTAGTTGAAGAGATGCTGGCCAGTCAACACTGACCCATTTTAACAGTATTCCCTTTAGCAGAAATGTTCATTGAAGTTAACATGTTCTTGTTTGTGAGCTCCTGGATTTTATGTGACAGCAAGCAAACTTTTGTCATTAAAAGCTGTAACTTTTTTCCTAAATTGCCCTGTATCTTTTATAAAGAGAGAGAAATGTTACTTATCAGTGTTTGTAATCCATTAACATAAAATGATCATAACTTTTTGATACTTTTGTTATTACACTGTTTTTGAGCAGTTAAGCAGGGCTAAAGTAGTTGCTGGAGAACAGATAATGTTGCATCCTCTTATTTTCTTGCTAGAAAAATTCTTGTACAGTACATGCTTTTTCAGAAGAGAGCAACCATAATCGTATTTGTAGGGGATTATTTTCATGTACTTTCTAAATGATTCTAAGCAGGCCAAAATGAACTTCTTTCAGCTGTCAGAATTGTCCTTGACTGCAATTAACTGGACAATTGATCAAATCCCAGACTGGTATTAGTTATTTTGAGCACAAATTGGTGTAAGATTAAAAGAAGAATAAAAGATTCTCTCTGATCCCATATGCTGTTTTCAGCAGTGGTGGATGGTATGCATTTATGGAATAGGAAAAAACAAACCCAAGGCAAGTACATAGCACTGATTATAAAACATTCTCCCAGCCTTCAGTGGTTTGCTGTTCACGGATACAAATCCATCTTGAAATGGCTTGAAAAGAGCTGGGGGGTCTATGTTCAGACAGTCAGCTCAGCACATTTAGCTAGTGTCTGATATTAAAAACAGATGTCCTTTTAAAGGCCTGTTAATAAAACTCATTCAAACTTTTTTGTTATACTTGCTAAATCATTTAAGAAAGCAGTAAGATGTAAAAGTCTCTGCTTAGGAGTGATGATTTGGGTTTCAAGTTAGGGGAGCATTGTTCATATGGCTTTAAAATTACTACCTTGTTTCTGAAATGGATGCAGAGCTGTCTATTGAAATCTATTTTTCTTGCTTGATTGGGTAATCATTTTAAATACATGCTTTTACATTTCCTTACTCTTCAGTGTTACTGAGGATATCTCTGATAAAACCTTTCAAAATGTATGGTTGTAGCTTTTGTTGTTGTTAAAGATCCGTAACTTGAACAGAACTGCATTGATTTTTTTTGTAAGCTATCTCTTGGGCGTTCACTTAGTGCCCCCACAACTGTTTAGGAACAAGTGAAGAACCACAAAGTCCTAAAGTTTAAAATTGGTAGAATTGGGTGGAATGGAAAAAAAAATGCAAAAGGAACTATTTCAGAAGGAGGAAAACATTACAGAGTTTCCCTCCTCAGGAGTTAATTTCTTACATTAGTCTTTGTTCAGACATGGAATTTTCTGAAGATGAGCTGTATGTTTTCCGTGTCATAACAGGCTAATTTCTTATAGATGGTTACCATATGATGCTGTTCTGGTTGTTGATAATGCTAATAAACGCATGTTAAAAATTGACCTGCTGGAGCTGCCTGTTTGATCATCTTGGCTGTCTGTAAGCCCTTCTTGGCTGCTGAGATAGAAAAGAATTTCTGGAAACACTGATGCTGTAAGGAGAAACTGTAACACTCTGTAACCCGCTCCTTGGGGTTGAGTCCTTGGAGTGATGGTGGTCAGTTACTGTCCTCGGAGCCTGCCAGAGGAATACACGTGATCTGGACTGAGAAATAACTAACCTTGGATGGGATTTAAAGAGCAAGTTATAGCTGTGGGTTTAGGTCAAAAGCTGTTTCAGTTTCAAAGGTTGATAATTAATGTGGTAAGGAATCTCAAGCTAGACTGACTTTGCAATTCTATAAGGTATGGGAAATGTCAGAAGTTTCATAGCCACCAGGATAGCTTCTCCTTGGAGCTGAGAAATGATATTGTCTGAATATCTGGATTCTGTGATACAAACCAGTTTCTAAGGAACTTGATACATTTTACAAGTCTATGAATGTTTATAGGGTTGTATGTCCCAGACTTTGAGTCCCAAGGTCAAGGTATGAGCTGCAAACAGGCTTCATTAGTTTGCTCTTGACATTGACATGTAACTTTTATCAGCTTTTTCTGATACTGGTTATGCTGGGGAGGCAAGGTCTAGGAGAAACAATGTGTTTCTGTTGAACTTGATGATAAAAGTGAGTTCTTGGTTACATTGTGTGGTCATCAGAAGAGGTGCATCACTAAAGTTCAAGAGAGTTAGCAGATAAGCTGTATTTTAGGGAAGTGGTGATTTAAGAATGTAGAGGTCAGAGGTTGACAAGTCACTAAGTATCTCAGGTGCTGATGTTCAAACTAGGATGTCCATAAATCCTTCAACAAATTGTAGACAGAGAATCTGTCAGTGGTGTCATTGCAACCAAATGCAAAAGTGAAATGAATGTGGACCTGCCTATAGGGTGGGGAATCCTGATTGCTCCCTTCCAGCCTGGCATCTACAAACAGGGCTTCTCAGCAAGATTTTTGTATCTTTCATTTCTTTATGATTCACTCAGGTGTTTAATGTTTTACCAAGATCATCTGACCAGGCTGAAAGCTGACATCTGTGTCTTTTAGCTAATGCTATTTTCATTTTTTTTTTTTAGTTCAATTAACTAAATACAGTATGTGGTTATAAACAAGTACAAAAATTATTCTTTACTCAGTAAATGAATGTAAGCAGAAGTTGTTCTTTTACATAAGTAATGAAATTAAATGTCTTTAATGTGTTGCTCATTCTTAACTTTCAACTGGTAGCTTTGTAGTCTCTGGCATGGGTAAAAGTTGGGTGACTGTCTCACTTGTGTGTGTTAAGCAAGACTGTTGATTGATTACAGTCCCTGAGGACAGGTTCTTTAATACTGAGTTCTAGCAGTCATGTCCTCAAAATGAGTAACTGCAAAAAGTCTTCAATGACACACGGTGCTATGAGTGATGGGAGGGTGGGCCGGGAAAGTAGCAACACCTAAATTTCTGTATTTCAGCTGGGGCTTTATGGGTTTCCGTGAGTATAAAAAACAGATGATTTCTGACAAAGATTGTCATAGGGCTTTACGCACTCCCTGAATTTGCAGGAAAACAACTGTCACAAAGTCTGAGTAATAACTCCTTGAAGATTTGGGGCACTCCTAGATCTTCATTAAATATAACCTCCTTGATTAGATAAAAGCAGTGCTTGACATGGGATTAAATTGCAGAATTGTCTTGCAAATAATATACATCTCGCCTAGTTTAATAAAACCAGAAACAAAGGGCCTACGGGTAAATAGGATCAGGGTTTAGGAACAGAAAGCAGGTGTTAGAAGACCAAAGGCAGAGTGACTTGTAAGAAGAAAAGTGTCTAGGATGTGAAAATCCCTTGATGGTACCTGTCTTGTATTTTATTTTCCTAACAGATAACCCTTTGACTATCTAGAATAATATTTTGTTCTAATTTTGGTTCAATGCTGTTCAAACAGCCTGTGCTTTTTACAGAGGGAACTAAAGAACATGGAGGCTGGAGCTCTTTGCCTTTCTAGGATGCATGTTTTCTCTTTTCCTTTGATAAAACTTTAATATCTGTTCCTGTGAGGATCCATGTATTCTGCAGGGCTGGCTCAAGGATTAGGCCAGTGTGAGGGAGGCAGTGTTTTGGGCTGGATGCCCTGGCAAGCTGCGACAGCCTGTCAGGTTGAGCTGCTGCTGCCTTGGCTGCTGTTCCAGGGTTTATCAATTATGTAATGTGTGTATAGTTTAGTGTGTGTAATTATGTCTAAAGTGGTGTGGAATGGCAGCCTTGAGACATCCGAGGGCAAAACTAGTAAGCAGATGTTGGTAGCTTTTAGTTCTAGCTTGCAACAGATGTTGAGCTTTCACCATCACAAGGCAGTCATCAGCATCTCTCTTAGCATTTCTTTGAGAGGGATTGATTCACTGTCTCAGTAAACTGAATGTTAATTTCAGTTCATGTGGGACTCGCTGTGGAAGTATCTTTATGCTGTGAGAGAATACTTACATGCCAAATATTATTTGAATAGTTTTTATGGCAGGTACTGAAACTGTGACATCACTCACAGACTGGTTCTGTCCTGAAGCTGTTTACAGAGGAGTACATGTAAATGCCTGAGCATTCACTACTTCATGGTAGTTGGGTGGTTTCTTTCTTTGACCTCTCTGCTTGTTTGTTTTTTGAACTGTGGCCCTCAGAAGGAAACTTGCTTTTGTGACTTGGCAGACTGTTGGCAGAAATGTGTCTGCAGTAGCAGTGGTGAAGAGGGTGTCATTGTGTTGAACAGGAGCCTGAGTTTTATTTCATAGATTTGTTTTGTGTCTTTTACAGTATAAAGGAAACGAAGATGGGGAGACAGTTATTGTTGAAAAAGACCATTTTATGGATGACTTTTTCCAACAGGTAAAGTTATAGTTTTCACCATGCATTGAAGACTTAGTTATTTCTCTGTGCCTTTTAACTTCTGTAATTAGGCTTAACAAATTCATCTACACCCCATCCCCAATATGCTTTGTAATGGTGTTCTAAATCAAATGTTGGCCTGAATTATTGTACTGTTCTCATTGCCATATTTCTCTTCCTCTAGGTTGAGGAACTTAGAAATAATATAGCAAAAATAGCACAAAATGTGGAAGAAGTGAAGAAGCAGCACAGCATTATCCTGTCAGCACCAAATCCTGAAGGAAGTGCGTATCACTTTTTTTGGATTTCAGATATGTGTGGCTGGATGTTCTGAAATAATTTGCATGTTTTTAGCTATTTATGGGAATAGAACTTGAGGTGTTCAGAATGCAAAATGTAACACAGTTCATGAAATGTTTCCATTTTTTATCTTGGATTAATGTTTTCATTTGCTTATTTTTTACTCCATAAGTCTCATTTGAATAAATACATTTTCAGCGTATTTGTTGCATGATCCACACGTTTGCTAGAGCAAAACTCCAGTTTAATATGGTATCATGAAATGGGTTGTGTCTTCAGAAACACAGAGGCTATTTGCATTTCTTTTAATTGGTGTCAGTGTTGAAGTGTCAGCTGACACTCATACAGTACAGCCATCATCTTCTCTTTATTCTTAAATAGGGGCAAGATCCTGCCTAACAGTAACACTATAACCAGCTGCTTTAGCAGTAGTAGACAGTTCAATGACGGAGCCCTATTTTTAGAAGTGCTGGAAGTGCAGATGTGCTTTCTGAACAGAGAACTCAAAAGTTTAGGGAACTTAACCAGTAACCTCATGTGTTGTCAACCCTTGTTAATTCAAGGAATGCCTATGTTTAAGGGAGAAGCTTAAAGAAAAGGGAAGATGGGGAGATATTTTTGTGAAATGTTGCAGCTCTTTCTTGTTGATGAAAACTGAACTTTCTATGTTAGTTTTTCTCTCCCTCCTATTTTCTTTGTCTACAGATGGGCATACGCTTGTATTCTTAAATGACTTTGCAGGCTGCTTTTTGTCTTGACAATCGTACACAGTCATCTCATACATACATCTTGGGTTCATTTGAGTGTTTTAACATCTGTGGTCTCAGCTCATGTATCAGCTTGTGTTTGTGCTAAAAACTGTGCTCAATCATGCATATGAATTGTGTAGGAACATGACCTTGCCTGTAAGTAATGTAGGCTCTTGTGAATCTAGTGTCTTCAGTAAACCCAGTAGCAGAGATGTAGTGAAGTTCTTTGTGAATTCTTTGTGTAGTATTCTCAATAATAGGGAGTGCATGGTCCAGATGTGTTAATAAAGGTAAAAGCTATGAGTCCATGTTAAACAACCGAAGTAGAAGTGTGGAAAAATCTGTATCTTCATTTGATAGGCTTCAGTGAACTTTCATTTTGATGAGCGAACGAATGTTACCCTGAAAGTGTTACGTTAAGAAAAAATGTGGAATATTTCATTACCTGGTTTAGTTCATGACTTGGTAATGACATTTCCCAACTGTAAGAGCTTCTCATAAGAAGCAGGAACCTAATAGTATGCTGCTACAAAAATGGTAAAGTGTTTAGGAGTATAATAAACAAGTCCTCTGCATGGTTATACTGGATGCAGTTATGACATTGCAAGGTAGAGTTCTAGATAGTTGCTGGCTTACCATTATCAACAGTTCTGAAGAAAAAAAGAACAACATGATTTTAATTTTCTTTTTTCTTTCAGGAACAAAAGAAGAACTTGAAGAATTAAATGAGGAAATAAAGAAGATTGCTAATAAAGTCCGAGCCAGGTTAAAGGGTAAATTGTGAGGAGAAGTAGAACTGCTGTCATGTGTAATGATTCAGGATGTAGCAGTGTTACAGACTTAGCGCATTGCAGCTGAACTCCTAAACTTTAAAAGTTGCATTGTGTGTGCATAAACTGGATTGGATGGCTCTTTAAACTGGAGAACCTCCCCCTCCCTGCCAACTAATATACAACCCATGCCAGGAACCCTATCGTCCTCTACTTTATTCCTCCTTGGCAACCTTCACCACTGACAAATACCAGGTCTCAGCACAGCCCATTCTGTGGAACAGGACAAAGAGCTTGCTTGCTTTCAGGAATAGCATAGAAAATTAAAGTGCAAAGCAATTTCTCTGTGTAGATGTGAATTCTGCAGCTTAACTGCTGGGTTTTGGTCATGGTGTCTTGGAAGGTTTACCACAAGAAGAGTCTCCATAGCATACATGCCTACACAGGGAATTGCTTTAGAGCACTTAGTGTGTTTTAAATTCAAACTAGCTAATTTTGCTTTGGCTTTCCCCTGTGGCTATGTCTTCATTGTTTAGCATAGGTTTTGAAATATATTGAGTGTTTTAATGTTGCTGTATTACAATTACTTCCATAAACACTAGGGTATGGTGTTTATTGTTTAAACTATAAGAGCAGCCAGTATTGTTAGAACTTTTGAGATTTTTCTATAGTAATAGACAGTAGCGTGACTCTGTAAAAGTATTGAAGTGGTTACTGTGTTACAAGATCTGTACCAATTATCAAAATTATTTTGTATTATCTATATATCACTGCCACACCCCAAATGTTAAACATGTCTGTGGGGATCTTATACATGAAGAAAGTATTAGTTAACACTATTTACAAAGTAACTGAGCTATTAAATAATTATACTGACCATTGACTAATAACATTCTTGTATTGTTCTTAGCTATTGAGCAGACTTTTGATCAGGGTGAAAATGCTAATCGGACATCAGTGGACCTCAGGATAAGAAAAACACAGGTATGATCACTTAAGTTTAAATAAAAGGATTCTAGTAAATTGGGGAATGAGTTTTCACCACTGTGAAATTATTTCAGAGGTTTATGTTCTGTTTTGTTGGAATGTAACTTTCAGTTGCTGTGCAGTATTGTGCTGTATTACAAAAAAAATAATTGGTTTTGTTCCACATTTTTATATCCTTATAAAATAGCACTCTGTCTTGGCTCACAAGTTTGTGGAGGTCATGATGGAATACAACGAGACACAAACTCTCTTTCGAGAACGCAGCAAAGGTCGGATACAGAGGCAATTGGAGATAAGTGAGTGACCTGAATACACTTTTTAAAAAAGTTAATTGTGTTGTTAATACCTACCTTGTTTCTTGCTACTTAAAGATGGTACAAAGCATTATAGATCTTGCATGTCTTTTTGCAGGGTGTGAGAGGAAAAACTATCACATGGCATAAACTCTTTAGTGTTGCTATTCAGAGCAGCTGTAAAGAAAATAAGGTTAAACTCAATTCATTTTTTTTGTTGAAAACTATTCAAGTAATTATCTTTTCCTTTTGTTTCATTTATTTCTGATGCTACAACTTTTAATGAAACATTGACAAAAGCTGTGTTCTGAAAATAGTATTAGTAAAAGCCATTCTAAAATTAACATGTTAAACAGAACATCTCTTTTTATCCTGTGACATTTTTGTCAATAAGAACATTTGTTAAATTCAGCTGACTAAAATCAGTGCTGCTGTTAATTTACATTAATCATTTGTTGACTGACTCGCATCTGAGTTATTTCATCATTGATTACTATGAGGAGTATTCAGAAAGGTAATTGACTGTACTCTGAACTACAGCATCTACCTCAGAAGGTGTCTAAAATATCCATAACATATTGTACCTAAGATTAGCCTTTATTATCCCCTGTAAAAGCAAGTACATATATTGCTGAAATAGGAAATGCAAACAGAAAGTTGGCAAATCACAAGGTAACTTTGCTTTTCCTGTGATTCTCAAGTTTGTCATTAGCCTCTCATGCGTATGGTTCCATTCAGCTTTTCAGTTAAGTTTATTGGGCAAGTTAAGTTCTTCTTTACCTATATGTTTAAGGAGAGAGATCCTAATACTTTAGGACATGGTTATGTGTTGCTATAACTCAGTTAGAGCCTTCAGCTTTTCCTCAGCATTGTCTTCTGACTATTACTTGATATTTTCTGGTTTGGGTTGGTTTGCGGTGTTTTTTCCATATGCAAAATTGCACTTGGTAATGGCTGAAAACAATGCTTAATAGAATAATTTTCTTTGAATTATCATCCTTCTGGTATGGCAAAATCTTATGTTCAATAATGAGTGATGTTATGTAAAGTATTGGTGTTTCTATCCTAGCTGGAAAGACCACCACTGATGAGGAACTGGAAGAAATGTTAGAGAGCGGTAATCCTTCAATTTTCACTTCAGATGTACGTATTTCTAGTCCAGTTTATGCCTCTCTTCTATTTTGCTGCTTCTCATATTTAGAAGTATGTCAGCACATATTTATGTCCGTATCTTTTTTGTTCTTCCAAAGATTATATCAGACTCTCAGATCACTAGGCAAGCTCTGAACGAAATTGAGTCGCGTCACAAGGATATTATGAAACTGGAATCCAGCATACGGGAACTACATGAAATGTTTATGGACATGGCAATGTTTGTTGAGACTCAGGTAAATGAACCAATTCAAACACGGTTATCTAAGAGGGTTTTTTTATTTTTTTTCTTCCCCTCAGTATTCCTCTTTGAAATATGCAGGAACAATTGCTTATATTCAGATAGTACAGACTTAGGGTGGTTTTTGACTATGATTAGAATATATGAAAGTTGATCACTAAAGGTTTTTTAGACAAACACAATCTGGATGTACTCGTGGTCTACCTACGAATAACTAAGCGTAGCCTTTATTTTCAGTTGGTACACTTAATATTTTCTTCAGCATGCTTATATTGCAATAAGCTCAAACATTTTATCCCTGGTTAAGAAAGAACAACTTTCTGGTGGAATGTTTGCTGGTATCTTGGGAGTTTAGGATTCTTATAGGTGTGATAAAGGACTATTGTTGTAGAATAAAATGTGCATTAGCAAGAATGTGTGCAACTTGCACATAATACAAAGGTATGATTACTGTTCTAAGGTGAATATACAGAGATTGAAAAGTCATTCAAGTATGTTTATAAGCTTTATCTTATCTACATAAATTTGTTCATGTCTTTACGTACCAATTATCTAACAAAAATATTTTAACTTCTGTTCTTAAAATTCTTTGATTTATGTAGCAAAGTGGAAAGAGTCGTGTTCAGGGGAGATGCTTTCCCGAAAAGGACTATTTTATTTGTCTTTTTTTAATTGGGTTTTGTTCTCCCAGTCCTGCATTGCTTTACTGCTAACTATCTAGCCAAGGCAAAAAAAAAAAAGGTAGCAGTTTTCTTTTGAATTAGAAATGAACAAAAGTTACTTGTGCATCATTTTTTAATGCTTTGCTGTTTACTGCTGCTATTTCTTCTGATGGACAGAAACACAGGTAATGGAGTTACTGTAATTTGTCACAAATCCTCCATTTCATTACCAAACTTCATTCATCATACTTAATTTGAATTTCTTGTGTATTGACACGGTGAGCCCTCAATTCCATGGAACTTCTGAGGTTGCTATTATATGTGTGTGTGTTCTTAGATAACTGTTGAACCTTGTGTCAAAAGGAGTCAGTATCTTTTCCCACTTGCAGGCACCTCAGAGATTTCTCATCTCTTTAGTGTGTCAGCTTTAGTTTTGACTGTTAAAACATACCTCACATTCAGTGGTATGTTTTCAGGTGTTCAGTATTTGTTCGTGCTAAAGGGAGAAATATGCCTGCCCTGCCCATGAATGTTCCTTGTTTAGTTAGAACTTTGCGCCCTTGCTTCTCATTCCCTTTTCCATTTACACATCAAAGCAGAAAAAATGTCAGCTGCCAATATGTACATTATTTACTGTTTAATCACTTATGTTCTGTAGCCTTCCTTCTCTTCAGTTCATTAAGCAAGGATCCATGTATTCTAATAAGTTTTTTTTTCAAAATTTCATTTTAAGGGTGAAATGATCAACAACATAGAAAAGAACGTGATGAATGCATCAGATTATGTGGAACATGCAAAAGAAGAAACAAAAAAGGCAGTTAAATATCAAAGTAAAGCACGAAGGGTATGCTATCTTTCTGTAATTATTCTAGTCAGTATATTAGCACAGTATGAAGTGACCTTCAATTTTAGTTGTGTTGTTGTATTCAGTCCTTTAAGGTAGAATTAATACACATTTAATTTAAAATTACAAAATGTTGTTATAAATTAGTATATGACAGGAAGATTTACCAAAGGATTTTACAAGCAACCCCACAGTCCCATCAGGAAAAAAATCATAACCTTTCCAAAGTGATTTGTTACAGTTTTTAAAAATTGATATTACCAGTAGAGGACAGAAACTTGTCTTACTACAAAAACATACAAGCAATTCATACACAGATAAAGCTATGTTTTCTACTTAAAAATCTGTCATTACAAAGTGTAAAAAACCCCAAAGAAGAATTAATGTACTATGCCAGTAGATAAATTCACAGGGGGTTCTTATCCATTGCTGTGATACCTTTTAATTATTCAGACTCTAAATAAGCTAAAGGTTTTTGCTTCTTTATCACTGGTAAATTTGCCTGGATTTAGAGCCGTAAAATTGCCATGTTAGCAGGAAAAACAAAATTACTTGTTTTGCTGAAGAAGGCTTTTTTAGAATTCCATCTGCAATTATTCTTTTTTACAGATAACTACCTCTGTACTCTTGTAAAAGTACTAGATAAGGGAGATCTTCCCTCTGGAAAGAGTGTGATATTAAACCACTATACTCAGTTTTGTGGAGGAATGGAGTAGCGTTCAGGTGTTTGCCATTGGTGTGGAAACTTGTGTTTCAATATCTTCCTTCCCATCAGAAAGCGAAATAATATATTCTGGAATCAAACTACTGAGTAATTTATACTTTGTAACTGTATGATTGCAGAGTGAATGAATTGTTCTTTTGACTTCATAATTTCCTCTTTTGAGAAGCTGTGCAATTTTATGAGGCTTTTTATGGGGAGTTGGATTTGAGGGAATAATATATCTTTTTACAGACAGATATCTACATGTAGGTAACACACTATATTTAAAGAAAAATATTTAAGAAATATCAAAAGAGCCCACTTAATGTATATGTAAATGGTGTTTTTCTCATCTTTGACAACTATATAAGTCTTAACTACAGTAGTTTAACTGTAAACAGTGTTTATTCTTATGCATGCAAGAGTATACAGGTAAATTTATCTCAATTGGAGAACACTGCAGGCTTTAACAAAAATGAGTGTGGATCTAAAACTTGACTATTTTTAACATTAAAAATAAATGCAAATCATTGTGCTTAATCTTAAAATAATAAATGCCTTGGGTTTTGACAGAAAATGTGGATAATTGTCATTGTGTCATTGGTGTTGATTGCTGTAGTTGCTCTCATTATTGGTTTGTCTGTTGGTTTTCGGTGTTGCATGGATAACCGCAGCATGTGTGACTTCCTGTCACAGTGGCAGTAAGTAACTAATCAACTAATTATGCTCTTGTTTTGGCCTGGTAACTTGTATTGTTCTACTAATCCATAATATCCACGCAGTTAGCACTGGAGAGTAGGCTTAAGATGCATTGGGGGATCTTGTTCATCTCTGGATACTGTAAAAGTGCTGTGCATGTCAGTATTGAAACTGACACCTAGTGGTAAGCTGCCACATGCACAGAATGCTATCACTACATGAGACTCATAAATGCAGAAGGAAATGAGACCAAAAATGCAGTTATTGTCTTGTAGCCCTTTGAAATTTTTTTATACTGAAACTTCACATCAGCAAAAAATCTACACCAGTATATGGGATACCAGTTACACTTGGAACTTTATCAGATGGGGTGTTACATGGTTTTAGGCAGGGCTTTCATAAAAAGAAATGTCTACAACCATGAAGTTGGCTATATGCCTTGTAGAACATCCTACAATTTCTTACTTTCAAGCTGTTTATTAATACCAGACTAAATGAAGCAGTGGGAAATAACATATTTGTAGAAGGAAGTCTGCAAAGATTCCAGCTGGAATTTTAGGACATAAATTTGATAATTTGTTCAATCTGCAGATTCTTGCTATACTAAGCTACCAATTCTTGTCAAGATAACACGTAACCAGGCTACTTAACTCCTGAGTCCAACAGAAAGTCAACTTCTGCATGCAGGATCCTCAAAGTATGCATGAGGCACTATGAACAGGGTATCACTCTGAACAGCTTATCAGAAACTCAATTTTCTGTACTAACACTCTTTTTAATAGCAAGGCTTTTACTTTTGTTGTTAGACTTTCTTCTCAGCTTTGGTTTATAGGCAGGTAACAGATTTACTGTATCATTGCTTAGAGTCAGAAACACCTGACCTGATGCCAGGCTTTCATGCATATACATAGAACCTATACATTTTTCCCCCCTGCAGCTCTTCTGAGGTATTACCTACACAGTGTTTTTACGTACGTTTTACTGAGTTCTGTGAATTCCATTAAGCATGCCATCTCAAGAGTTGAGCAGACTACAAATATTTATCAAGGGAGGGTGGTAGTAGGCAATGTTACTGTACTTAGACATGACCCTGGTAAGTAAATGTTCACTACTGCATCTGCTTCTGTATGTAATGATAACTACAAAAGCTGGCTGTGAGTAATAACAATTATACTGTGAAGTAAAACATAGAAATGTTTCACAGAGCTCCATCTTCTAACTATGGTTACATGTACGTTAGGAAAGAATAAATGCAGTAAGCATTTATCTTAATTTTTCTAGAAAGAAAATCAAAGCACTGAGATGAGGTGTCAGTTTTTTCTGTGGCTGTACACGTGTGTGAACAGGGTATTTCAATCTCAACTTTTATTTTTTTGCAGAAACTGATGTTCATCATTATCTGTGTTACTGTACTGCTTCTGATACTTGGAATTATCCTAGCAACAACACTATCCTAGCAAGCACATTCCAAGAGTTATGAACCTTCAGAAACTCCAAAATACATCTTCTGTAAAACCAAACCTTTCTTAATAAGTGATGCCTTACATTGTTCCACGATGATGACCTATCACTAATGGTTAAAAATCTAAAAGTTGCTCTTTATGTTTACTTATAAATGAATATGAGAATGTATTAAGATATGGATAGATTTGCATCATAAACTCTGTAAGACTGAAACTTGGTCTTAATTATTTTGAACTGAAGTAAATTAGATTTTTTTTTTTCATATCTCAGTGTTACAAACAGTTTAAATAGGGAGTTGAGAGACTTTCGAGTTTTGACTGTTTGGAGCTTTTTTCTATTGCAAGTCTGATTCTAATCATGAAAAGTAGTACCTTACCAGTTCTGCTTTTGTTAGCACTCGTGTGAACATTTTTGACATGTAGCCTTGTCTGTAAGTGTAATTATTTAGTCAGCTATCTAAGCTTTATACTTGAATTTTTTTCTCCAACAAGTGCTAAAGTATTTTATCCTGAAAAGACTCCTTAACTGTCTTCCTATTGCAGTCCACTTGAGAAGGAAAAAAAACAAAAGCTTTTTTTACATTTTCCAGGCTTTTTGTTTTTTTTCCTTCAATTTCAAACTTTAATTGCTTTAAATGTTTTGTTGCCTCTGTAATAAAATGTTAGTTGCAACATTTCTGGTAAAAGAATGCAGTAATGAAGCACATTAAATTTGAACCTTAGCAGATAATTTTACAAATAACCCTTGTTCAAATACAAATAACCCTGATGGATCAGTTAGCCTTACTATTAATGTGACAAAAATCGTATTTTCCTCTATATAGCCAAGTCACAATTTCTTATTCAGAAGCTTGCTAATGTTGATGTGTGAGTGTAGCACATAAACTCCTTCAGAGAAGTCTGAAACATAATAAAAACTAAGACACTGATCTGTTACAAAGTTAGTCTTAACATGTATGAAGTGTTTTAGTATATACACACCTGTTGTACTGCTAGTTTGCAACACTTAAAGGCTTGAAAGATTTCAAATGTAACTAAATAACTGCATTTAATGTTACAGGTTATTTTTGTACTTTGTGTGTAAAATATTTGTAACTTGACTTTTTGACTTCTCATTGTTTAAGCATATCCTTGTAGATATGTAGATATATTTACACTGTGAGAGAATTAGAGGGAAGTATAATGTGTGCCTTTTAAATACAGTCTAAAAATACACTTGTCAATGTTTCAAATAATTATAATGTTAACTGCAATAACTCCTTAAACTCGTGTTTTGTTGAAGGTGTCTAAGATTGAAGTTACTCGGTCAACTGTAACTCAGTCTGTGGACTTGATTAAATTCAGCAAAGTTTACAGTGAATATTGTATGTATGACAGTTCCTGCTTTGCTGTCCAAATACACTGTGAATGTGCTAGACCTGTTCAGATGTCAAACGTATTTAAAAAGAAAAAAAATTACTATTATTGGTCTTTTTGCAAGTTGGCCATAACGAAGTCACTTGAAAAATTTTGGCTTCATTAATGAACAAATTTCTTTACCTCTAAGTCCTTACAAACATGGGTGAGTGTTCTGGAAGTTTACATGCAAAGTAGGGAAAGATTGGCTGCCTTAGTACTCAGTCTAGGTAAAATATGTTTTTTATTCTATAGTTTTCTAGATTTTTATCAGTAAATATTATTTATACATATACAGAAATAAGGGGGAAAAGAAATTGGTTCTGCTGTTTAACAGCTGATCACCTAAAATGACCCTCAAAATCCCATCATGTTGTTTTTATTTATAATGCTATAATTTGCCCATCAAGACAAGAAATTTAAATAGCCTACTCCATAGCTTTTTGTTATACAGCTGTCTCAATGAGTTTGTTTTAAAACAAAACTTGTTTTTCACATGAACTTTTTTGTTCTGTTAATATTGGAGGGGAATATATCTCTAACCTATGCACTAATAAATTTATCTAAGCAAGTATCTTGTGGCTGTTTTTATATTTATGATGTTACTGTGACCTTTGAATATTTCCAGTAAGTGTGTGAATAAGGCTGATACATTTTTGTGAAGACATATGTCAAACAACTGATACTTAGAGTGAAAGTACTGTATTTCCTGAACCTTTTTACCAAAAAAGATGTAGAGATGGTCAAAGCAGATGTAGAGAGAACTATGAAGACATCAGTGGGATTTATACCTTTTTAATATACCTGTGGAATTTTGCTTAATATTGAACTTGAAAAATATGTGAATTATTTATTTGAATGAAGCTATTCATGTATTCTCAAATCCTCATAGAAGTGCATATTTATCAGTGCAGAATTAAAGTAACTTCCTCTTACCTGCTCACCCCAGAACTGGAATTTCTGGAATGGATTGAGGGTTTTGGTGTCCAGGTGGTAACTGGAGTTATTCCCATGTGCTCGTGTTTGAAACTGGTGTGCCACTCCTGAGAGCTTTTTGCTGGCACTGAGTGCTGTTACCCCAGTACCTTGGGAAAAAGCATCAAATCTGAACACAAATGAATCCAACAGAATGAACTAGAGTTGTTTCCAAATTAATCTGTCTTTATTCTGCTTCTCTTTGCTCTGTAGCGCAAAACACAGAAAAGACATTTCTAGGCAACGGAGGATTTGTTAAGCATAGTTTTGATGAATGCAAGCCTGATAAATAAGATTTAAAAGAGAAAGGGAAATGAGGGAACTGCTGCCTAAGAGGAAGGATTTTTTTTGTATAAAGATATTATTTTAAAACAACCCACACCCTTTCAGACAGTTGTGCTTCATGTAGTTTGGAGAGAACAGTTTGGATGTGGGTTTTGTTTTGTTGGGTTTGGAGGGGGAGCAGTGGAGGGTGTGAAAGGGGGTTTACAGACTTAGGCTACCCAATGTTAAATTTGATTTGATGCGTTAATGTGGCTTGTATGCAACTTCTGAAAATAACCATGGCATTCTTCCCCAAGTGGGTCAGCCTTTGCACCTGTGAATCAGCTCAGTCTTTTCTGTCATGTACAGTAAGCAATTGGCTGCTCAGCTACATAGTGCCAGTTGCAGCCTCTTTAGCTGCCTCTCTCCAGCACACGGAGTCCTTCTGCCAGTAGTGAAGCACTTGGAGATGAGCATTTTGGAATAAAAAGAGCATTTGGTAAGCACTTGTAGCTAGGTTCTGAAGAACAAAAGAACTTCATGAATAAACATTTTTACAAAGGAGAATACATGGAAATGGTAAGTAATTACAAAATAATCGTATTTACATGTTGTAAAGAGTGATTGATTTTATTGGCTGCGTTTGAATCCATTTTACTGCAAATCGGGGGAAAGGAGGATTTTTATGTTTAAGCATAGTTAGAGAATGGCTAAGTTCTGATGCGAATAGCTACTGTACAACAGACTTTGCGGCTGCGAAGAAAACAAGGATTATTTTGCATGCAAAGATTTAATTCCTCTGTCCATACTTTAGAGAGAACATGGGTCAGCCCTTGCCAGTTACTGTCAGTTAACAGTAAACTGAGCTGAACAACATTATACTAACTGAGTGCAACTCAGTGTAAAGAGTATGTCAGAATGAATAGGGGCTCAACAGAGGTGCTGTTTATGTAACAGCTCACTTTATAGTCTTTTTTATGTAATCTTACGGAAAACAGGCAGCTTCCATACATATTTGACAAGGTTATTTGGTATTATTATACAGTTGTGTTAACTTTCTGTAGTTACCAGGTTTTTACCTTTTTGAGTTTGCTACTATGTAATTTTCATCAGTGTTTCTAACACTGGGTAAGAGTTAAAGGAGTCGTATTTGAAATTTCTGAAATGAGATGTGAAAGCTCATAGGTGAGAAGGCATACAAAAGCTGGTGTCTGGATAACAACGCTGACAGCTCGTTGTAAAGAAATCTTTGGCTTATTTTTCGAACCTTTTCCTTTCTGAATTGTGGCATGAGCCTACAGTGAGCATCTCTGTATCAGAGAATCGGAGAATTACGCTGGAAGTGATCTCTGCAGGTCACCTAGTGCAAAAGCAGTGTCAGTGGTGAGATCTGACCAGATTCTCTTACTGTTCTACATTACAGAATGAAACACTTTTGATTGTGATTAACGGAATCTTTTAAATATAAGCATGGTTTTGTTTTTTTATTTAGGGTTGTGTTTTGTGGTTTTTTTAAACCTCAGACCTTCTGTCATGACTGTTCATACAGTCGAACTCTGTATCTTAATGTTCTGTGGATTAATAGAATTGTTTTTTATAGGAAGTCTTATCAAACAAAATATTTGCTAGTCTAAGGATTTGTAAGAAGAAAATCTGGCCTTGGGAAGAATTTTTTCCTTGGCCTGTTTGTGGAACAGATTTCAGTTGTCTGAGGGATGTAAGTGGTTATTTTGAAGGGCACAATCTAGACGAAACATAAAATATATGAACTCTAGACAAGGAGCAGGGGGTGGCAATGATATTTCACAACAGAGACACCCAGACAATGGTTTCCTCACTGTGAGCAGTTTCACACTACCTGAAGTATCTTTGTCCAGTCAGATGTTGCTAAGTAGAAGTGAAGAGATTGCAACTATTTGAAAGCCTGTTCCAGACTTTACTTGGCTCCCATTTGTAGGTCACTGTAGAGTTAAATACTCATCAGAACTATTACAGAGCTGTTCTACTTGTATGTAGCATTGGAAGATTAAATCCTAGTTTGTCCAAGTGCCTGAAATGACTTGTCCAGGATCCCACAGGATCTGTGTGGCAGAGCACAGAGCTTGTACATGGGTGCCCATTTCAGCTTATAAGACTGCTGTTGCCTTCGGACCAGTTTGAACACAGGTGAGTAAAAATGTAAAACAAATCAAATACTGGTTTGTGATAAATGCATCTTTATTAGAGTGGTAGTCTGACTTGCTTAGACATTCAGCTGGTTGTTGCTGTACGTTTAAGCAAAGCTCAAGCTCTCAGACTGAAGCACTGAAGTTTTGTGATTAGACACAAGAGATAAAAAAGAGGTTAGTTGGCCTGGTGTGTTACATCTCAAGCTGTGAAGTGTTACCTGCTGAAGGTACCACACGAAGATGCATCTGCAGGTTGACAACTTTGGCTGAAGTACTTTTACATCACTAAGAAGCCAATGGGAGTTAGCAGTCCAATCCTCCTGTTCTAACTGAAGTAGCATTACATGTTTAGTTATAAACTATGATCATTAGAATATGGTTTAACAAAGACTATCAAGTTCACAACACAGATGTCTTTTTCACTCAGTACAGGAGCACCATGGTCTCTTATTTAGGTGGTCGATAGTGTAATAAAGCAGGAAAGGAAGAGAAATGGAAATTGCAGGAAAAGTCAAGTAGTCCCAGCTTGTTAGGGTGGCAGGCTCTTGCCGGGTTAATGCTCGATCTGGAATCCGCCACCGTGTGGAAACTGCTTGTAAGCGCTGACAGGACTGAAAAAGTGGGTCGTGGAAGAACGCTTCCTTGGATTCAAGTCTGTTTTTTTTCATGTAGCCTATTTAGCACTACTCGGCGTCTGACACTGATTGAAAGACCAGAGAAGATTTCTTTTCCCTATACTATCCACTTTATTTTTTTCCCTAAAAACCAAATCCAATTAGGATTTAGAAACCAGTTTCTGGGATGCATTTTTTTTCTACTCTTTTTGGTGGTGCTTGATTTAATGCCTAGTAGCATCTTTAGGAGAGCCTTCAGAATTTTTAATGATACAGTCTCTTTAATGCTTATTACTTCCCTCTTTATACACCACAGCATTGTATCAGGGCATACATCAGTCTAGTCATGCATATTTATCTCTTGTTAGCTTTTTAGCCTCAAATAATGTCTATATAATGCCAATTAACTTAAGTAACTTCAGTATCTCTGGGTTTCTTCTTTGAAGAGGAACTTAAGTGCCATAAAATTTGTTTCTTCCTTCCAACACCAGCACAAACCGGTTTTTAAACAAAAAAGAAGCTGCACCTCTGCAAAATATGTTTCAACCCTCTCTCAGCTTCATGGTTGCTGCTGATTTGCCTTTTCAAAACTTCAGTAATCACCTCTGTGAAAAAATTAATTCTCTCCTCAGTTTCAAGTAGTGCTGATTTGGCTTTTGCCTTTTCTATGTAAAGGATTGGATGATTGCTGACGTGCTCTGCAGACTTAGCACTTGTTACTTAATTTCTTTAATGGACATTTGGCAAAAGCCATTTCAAACACCGTGACTTGTAAACATCAGCCTTCTGCAGTGCTGCAGATTGGCTGGGACCTCACCAGGAAAGCATTTGCCATTTTTTCCTACCATTGCTTTAGTTACTGGCACTGCTCACAGGATGCTGTTAGGAAATAAGAAGTTACTTGCTTTCCAAACACACTTTCTTTGCTATTGAGCCATCTAATTGCAGGGGTTTGATTTTTCCGCCCATTTCTTCTCTTGATCTTTGGCTTTCCTTTTGTTTAGGCAGTTGCTTATAGACACATAGTCTCTTCTATTATTGAGTCTACCTTATGGTATTTGTAGTGAAGAAAAATGGCAATGTGTATTTAGTTAAGAAGGCCAGTCATCCATAATATAGATTTTTCTTTGTTCTATCCACACTGCTGTCAACCATCTCTAAATAGAGAAATATGGCAGCTAGCAAATGAATCTACCTGCATGAGAAGGCAATCTGGAGAAAAAAATATATACATTCAAAAAACCCATGCTTTTAACCTTCCGAAAATTAGCAAAAAAACACCAAAAATCCATTTCAAAACAGGTTAAAATGCTGAGTTTAAATCAGTTCTTACAACAAGTACACATTGCATTTCCAGCTCGTATGTTTGTTCTGCTTTTGATTTTCCCTTTTGGCAATTTATTCAGAGTAGAGTTAGTGGATGGAATCTCAGAGGAAAATAAAAGCTAGTGTTTTGAGAACTAATGAAGTAATTATCTAAAGCATTATTTACAATGATTATTTAGAAGATAATGAGACCCTTTAATTATGTTTGTTCTGCACAGCTAGCCTTT